TCTCTCTCTCTCTCTCTCTCTCTCTCTCTCTCTCTCTCTCTCTCTCTCTCATGAGTCGGTGAAACTCCGACGAAAGAGTTTGTCACAGCCCCTCGTTTGTTGTCCTCTTCTCCCTCTCTGCCTACGGTTTACTGGGCAGCTCTGTTGACGATATATGGGCAGCTCTGTTTGACGATATACATTGTCAAACAGAGCTGCCCAGTAAACCGTAGGCAGAGAGGGAGTATACATATAGTCGGTGGAACTCCGACAAAACAGTTTGTCAGAACACATCGTTTGCTGTCCTCTTCTCCCTCTCTGCTTATGGCTGACCAGGCATATACTCTGAAAAATTATATACAACAGTCCAACCAACACATCCCAGAGCAGACAAAACCTGGAACAGACAAAAATACTCTGAAAGATATACATATCTTTTTTCATAAAAGAAAACAAATGCACTCAGACTCCACTACCAATTTACCAAACAAACAACCTACCATTAACCTTAACCCAGGTCCAACTTGTTTCCGGCTGCGCACACTATCAGGTGTGCAGTCTGAGGGCCCATAGGTCCAATGTCGGGCCCCTACGGCCCCTGCGGTGTGTCTGAGCATGCCACAGCTAGGAGGGGTAGGATGAGACTGCTGACATTTTCACCACTTGAATGGGATGAAATTCTCTGTCATGTCTCCTCAGAAGGAAAAAGTGTCTTGCTGCTGCTCCGCTTGTGTGTGAACAGCCTCCCTGCCGAGACATTGAGAGTTTCGCCTGAGCAAGCTCTCTTTCTGCCGGCCGTGGACAAATGTCCTTCCCTCCTCTGTAACTTGTCGGGTGCGAAATCACATCCTAGACTTCCCAAAGACAACCTCCCCTGACAGCTGAATCAGGACGAAAGAACAAGAGAGATCTTGCATGACAACTCTTGGCAAGTGACCCGATCCGGCGTTACTTGCCCGCCACGCTCTGACAATGGCGTTCCCCGGGGCGGCTTTGTTGTGACACGGTGTGTCAACTTCAGAGTTCAAACGGCGGCACAAGGTGTGGGTTAAATGCACAGCGATGTGCTCACATGGTGATCTGGCAAGTTTACCTCAGTTATTTTGGGTACACTGTACTAATACTTTTTCTTGTGGACTAAATTTTCTAGATCTTTGCAGGATAGACAAGCACAGAGGTAGAGATGTAGATGGAGAGAAGAGAAGAGACTTACCCACGGTCATAGATACCTCCTCTCTCGATCAACAGCTTCAGGAGTGCTATGGGTTGCTGTGTGCCATATGTGTCCACCCTTGGCATATTAAGATCGTCAACAAAGACAATCATCTTTTTCCCCATTGGTGGCCCATATGTATCCTGCAAGTGAAAGAAAACTTAATCATTATTGATGTCTTTGAAACTTGAGCCTAAAGTTAAAATTTCAATTCAAATTACCAGGAAACCATCCATTTTCTCACATGCTGAAAACTTTCAGTGGTAGTTTTTCCTTTCTGAAACCCCCCTCCCTTGGATGTTGTGGTTCTGCGGTGCGGGTCATCGTGTGACCCTAACCCCTAACCCCAGAAACTTAAACCACCAGCCGGCCGCCCAAATCTCGAAGCAGCGCGGGCTGTCGATTTGATTTATCGACGGCCCGCCGGCCGCAGCGTTAACGCTAAGGCGTCGCCCAAGTACTGGTGGTTTAAGGCTCCTGTTAAGGCTTTTGCTTGATTCTCGGTATCATCCATCACATGCAATGTTGGGATGAGTTTGTTGCTGATGCTCCATGATTGAATGGTTGTCATGTTTCATCTATTCATTTCTCCAACGAAATGTCCACTTGTGTTTCGTGCAGTGAACGAAGTAAGCTTGTCCCTTCAATGTTGCCTCGCAGGGAGTAACCTTTGGGGCAAGGACCACTTTACCCTGCCATCTTGAATCCCCATGCTAGCTCTGTCAGAGCGTACCTAGGGTAAACAAATGTCAATATATAAATCCCCACCTGAAGATGAACAAACCTGGAACAAACATGGGACACGGGTCCAAGCATGTCAATACAATCAAAGAATCTGGAACATGGGAGGAGAGGAGGCGCAAGACAATGATTACAAGCTGCTCTCTTTCTTTCTTTTTTTGTCCTAAGGGTGACGTGCTCAAGGTATCATCATTGAACTGACCGACCCCAGGGTTTTCCATCATCACGTCTGCTTATCAATATTTTGTGGGTGTACCATTCACCCTCATGGGTTAGGTAAAGAGGTTCTCATCTTGTAGACCCTTCAAAGTTCAAACAGAAATAAGTCACCGGCATGAGTAAGATTACAGGATTGCGTCATGGCCGTAAGGTCATGCGTTTTTGTGATTAAAAAAATGGTATATTGCAGACAACTCCAGCACACCCTGATGAGCATGCTGATATAGAATGGGGAACCACGGAAGGTCAGGTACATGAAAAATGCATCCATATTACATCTGAGAGCATCCTTCTTACGTCTGGGAGAAGTAGAGGTAAGGGAGGGTGAGAAATTTTGGAAGAGCCAGTGGTGATCGTTGACAGACAAAATGTCAGCATGGATGGGCGATGCAGAAGAAATGGAAGAGGAGCCCTAGAAACAGTGTGGTTATGGAGTGAAAGGATTTCACGCTGTGCCACAATCCCAAGTTCCAGTCCCAAGCCCCGAGTCCCCAGTCCAAGGTCCCAGTACTAAGTCCCAGGTCCCAGTCCCGAGTCCTAGGTCCCAGTCCCGAGTCCCAGGTCCCATTCCTAAGTCCCAGGTTCTAATCCTGAGTCTCATTCCGTGTTCCATTAGTGGTTCCAGCCACTTGTACAATATGCAAGAATACTCTAGAAGAGTAGCTTTCATTTGTGCCATGATTGCAGAGGCCTAGGTGAGGTAGTTAAGTAGATCGTGGTAGGAAGTCCTTCGAGATAACAGTTATGGGTTGAAAAGTTCAAAAGTCTGTCTTTAAGAGGCATCACAGGGCCATTAGGCTAGGTGTCAGTTGATCCACGCAAGCAGCCAAACCCAAGAAGAATCCGTGAGTTTCCAGAAGCAGGGAACAAAGGCAAGAGGGCCGACCCATAACCAACAGAAGATGTCTGGAAGGCGGATCAGCAAGTAAAAAAACCCAGCGGCATCAGCAGGAAGGATCAACTACTCATGTGCGAATTGCGGAAGTACTGCGGGTTACTTGTGCGACAGTGCGATGTGGATGGGAGGGGGCACCAGGAGAGGAGCAAGTGCCAGCGAGGAAAGAGACATACATGATTACTGGGACTCTCCTCCTCCTCTTCTGTCTTCACTCTCGTCTACCTCGTTCTCCCATGCTCTTCTTTGACAAGACGATGCTGCTGAATTGTGCATATAATTGAGACATGGGAGGTCATGATGCGCGCTCGGTTCATTATGGACGGCCCCTCGAAGGATCCAAGGGAGATCATGAACCCAGTCTCGTTGAGAGGTGGACCCGTAATTGACTTTGGCGACTTCATGAATGAGCACTAGGTTCAGACCTGTATTGCATTGCTGACTGGCTTCTCAACGAGACTGGGTTCATTACACTTCATTTCACCTCTAGTTCGGCATGTATGCTTCTTGTTTGCTTACCTCGCACCTGTTGTTTTTGCTGAGTTCGTTATACTTCACCTGTCACCATGGAATGGCTGCAACTAGTTATTTGGATGTTTGATTTCATGGTTAACCCGGACCTGTACCCGGACAGAGCATGAGGTCCGGCCGGACTGACGTCCCGAAAAATCTGGACAAAAGAAGAAGAAGAAGAAGAAGAAGAAGAAGAAGAAGAAGAAGAAGAAGAAGAAGAAGAAGAAAAGAGAGAAGAAAAGAAAAGAAAAGGTTACAGAAGATTTACTGTCAGGGAGTGAATTGGGCCCTACCTGCCTCAGGGCAGTATCCATCCTGTGCAGCTCTCTCTCTCTCTCTCTCTATATATATATATATATATATCGTCACAAACAGAACTGCCCGGTAAACCGTAGGCAGAGAGAGAGAAGAGGACAACAAACGAGGGGCTGTGACAAACTGTTTCGTCGGAGTTTCACCGACT